AAACAAAATAGATGTTTACTTGCCTGGTGTGGGCACGGGAGTAGTCTGACTTTTCATTTACTTATCAATCTTTATATGGTCTTAGTTACATAAAAAATACATGACTACGGGCCAGGTGCAGTGGCTCACGCCTGTAATCCCAACCACTTTGGGAGGCCAAGGCAGGTGGATCACCTGAGGTCAGGAGTTCGAGACCAGCCTGGCCAACATGGCAAAACCTCGTCTCTATAAAAATACAAAGATTAGCCCGAGCGTGGGTGGCGCGTGCCTCTAGTCCCAGCTCCTTGGGAGGCTGAGGGCAACACGGTGGACTCCTCTAAAAAAAAAATAATAAAAACACCAATACATTCTGATTGGCCAAAATTCAAAAACATAAAATTCTACCATTACCCTCTCCTCCCCTCAACTGTTCTGCAGTATCCTTTTAGAACTTGTTCTATGTATCTACCTATATATACACACACCTGTCCATATATAAATGTATTTTTTTTACATTAGGTGTCATACTCTGTATTATTCTGTAACCTATGTACGTAAGCAACCCTCAGGGATTTTTGCCAAGCCGGACCATGTTAAGATGGCATCTGTTTTGTCTCCTCAGGGATTTTTGCCAAGCCGGACCATGTTAAGATGGCATATCCAAAGACTCAGCTCCAGCATTCACTGCCTTTATCATTGATTTGTGACAATCTCCGTGACCCTGGGAACCTGGGGACAATTCTGAGATCCGCAGCTGGGGCGGGCTGCAGCAAAGTGCTACTCACCAAAGGTAAGAGCATCCAAGGCCGGGCGCGGTGGCTCCCACCTGTAATCCAGCCCTTTGGGAGGCCGAGGCAGGAGGGTCACTCCAGCCCAGGAGTTCAGGACCATCCTGGGCAACATAGTGAGACCTCGTCTCTACAAAAAAAAATTAAAATTGGCTGGGTGTGGTGGGGTGTGCCTGTAGTCCCAGCAACTTGGGAGGCTGAGGTGGGAGGATTGCTTGAGCCTGGGATGTTGAGGCTGCAGCGAGCTCACCACTACACTCCAGCCTGGGCGACACAGTGAGACTCCCTCTCAAAAAAAAAAAAAAAAAAAAACAGGTGGATTAGTAGGTCTTTTTTTAAAAGAAATGGGGTCTCACTATGTTGCCTAGGCTGGTGTTGAACTGGCTGTGGCTCAAGCAGTCCTCCTGCCTCAGTCTCCCAAAGCACTGGAATTACAGGCATGAGCAACCATGCCCAGCCAGGTTCAGCCATTGTTAGGTGAGCTAGGGCTCTGGGCAGGCAGACACGGGTTGGATCTTGGTCTGCCTTCACTAGCTCTGGTCCCTGAGCAGTAGTCCCTGAAGTGTCAGCTTCCTCATTGGTGAAGTGAGAGGAATAACAGAATCTCCCTGGTCATTGTGAGGATTAAGTGAGATGATGCACATAAGGTACTTCACACCTTACCTAGCACACAAGTAACTCAGTAAATATTGATTCTCTTTTTAAAAAATTATGTTTTTTGTAGAGACAGGGTCTTGCTGTGTTGCCCAGCAAACTCCTAAGCTCAAGGGATCCTCCTGCCTCAGCCTTGCAAAGTGCTGAGATTATAGGCGTGAGCTGCCATACCCAGCCGATGTTTATTATCTTTTAAAATTATCATGAAACCTGCTAGGAATGAGGTCAGAAGCTCTGAATCCTAATGTCATCGTGATCCGTTTCCCTTAGTTTCCCTTAGCCTCAGCGTGGGTCACATGCCCCACACACAAATCTGCCTCATTACACTTCTGTCTCTCATCATCAGAAATGGGGATTAATCGGCTTGGCTCTAAACAGACTTGCCTGACAGCTGGGGCACGCCTAAAATGTCTGTTACACCTTGGGGGCGAGGGGACAGAGCACCGTTCATCAGAAACACTCCAGCCACCATTAAAAGTAAACTAATAGTGGCACCCGTTGTTGAGACTTGCCTGAATTGTTGCTCGCACCTCTTTCTCATCACGCCTTGCTAGAGTACGTTTCTGTGCCATGTGAGAGCTACGTGCTGGGGTTCCGTGACCAGTACCCCGCTTACTCGCCCCGTTATTTAGTGCTCTGATAGCTATTGTGGGATTTGGAAATAAATCTAAATAATCCAAGCAGTGTGGTTTTCACATTGACACTGATGGCTGGTGTGTAAGAAATGGGGAAAGAAAGGAGATACTTGGTGTGGTGCCCAGTAACCAGGACATGAGGATGACGGGAGGAGCCTCGCCTTTCCCTTCTCCCCTTCAGGTAGAGGGGTCAGCCTGGGCCGCTCCTCTCACACATCTGGGCCCATCTCTGGTTTCCTGCAGGGAGAGGGAAAGGAAAGCCGTGGTTGGGGTGCAGGCGCTGTTACATCCTGTGTCTCATTCTCCTTTTAAAATCTGGTTTGCCTGGTTCGTCTCTCCTGAGGTTTGACAAATGAACTTTTAAAATAACTCATCAGGAGAAGACTTGCGCTAACAAATTGTGCGGGGGAGGGTGGGAGGTGATGCAGTCCCTGTGGGGCCCCACCCTGGGCCGCTCTCCAGCCCGCCTGTGGTGAGGGGCAGGCCCTGGCAAAGGCCAGGCTGAGGCTGCTGCCGGGGTGGCCTCTTGCCTCATTTCCTCTCTAGGGCCTTCCCTGCTCCAGTGCAGACTGAACGTTGAAGCCCGGTGGGTCTTGATGCAACACAGATCTGCTTCTGCCACTGCTTTGCTTAAGATACCTCAATGGCATGATATATACTGTCTTCAGATAAAATGCCAAACTCCTCAGCTTCCCATAGGTGGCCTCCTCCGTGTTGGCCAGCCCACCTCCCACCTCCTGTGCCGCCACAGCCCCAGCACTGATTGGCCCGCTCACCTCCTGTGCTGCCACAGCCCCAGCACTGATTGGCCCGCTCACCTCCTGCGCCACCAAAGCCCCATTGCTGATTGCAGACTCACCTTGCTCACAGTCCTTAGGCTGCGCCACTGTCCCACTTCTTCTAGCCCTGTCCTCTGCCTGGGCCTTTCTCTTCGTGTCGTAGTCTTTTGGATGGTTTTTCTCATTGCCCTGCTTTGTCCGTGGGTTTTCTATGACTGTGTTGGTGCTTCTTTTACATCAGTTACTGATACTGTAGTCATCTGTTTAAATACTCACCCAGGGCCACCACCCACTACACTGTGCGTTCCTTGGGGTTGGGGACTTGAATTCTCTCTGCATCTTCTGTGCAGTGTCTGGCACGTGTGTATGGGAGATGTTGAAAGGATAGAGAAAATATTTTCAGCACTAGCAGGAATGGCTCCTGTAGTCGCTTTGCTGGATGCTGTCACAGTCAGACAGGCAGAAGGTCCCAGCTCTCAAAGCTCTCGTAGAATAACTTCATCTCCTGATCCAAAATTAATCTGACTTACTGCACAGTCCCCTGGTCTGGGAAGATTTGTAACATCTTGATTGTATCCTGTCTTTTTGTTTTCCAGGCTGTGTGGATCCCTGGGAGCCCAAAGTGCTCCGGGCGGGTATGGGCGCACATTTCCAGGTGCCCATTATCAATAATCTGGAGTGGGAAACCGTGCCCAATTACCTGCCCCCTGACACCCGGGTCTATGTGGCTGACAACTGTGGCCTTTATGCCCAGGCTCAGATGTCTAATAAAGCCAGTGACCATGGCTGGGTGTCGAACCAACGGTTGCTGAAGTTTCAGAAGTATGAAGAAGAGGAAGATGTAGAAACGGGAGCCAGTCAAGATTGGCTGCCTGATGTTGAGGTTCAGAGTTACGACTCGGACTGGACAGAGGCGCCGGCAGCTGTGGTGATTGGCGGGGAGACCGACGGCGTGAGCCTGGAGTCCCTGCAGCTGGCCGAGAGCACTGGTGGCAAGAGGCTGCTGATCCCCGTTGTGCCTGGTGTGGACAGCCTCAACTCGGCCATGGCGGCAAGCATCCTGGTTTTCGAAGGGAAAAGACAGCTGCGGGGGAGGGCGGAGCACTTGAGCAGGGACAGGAGTTACCACTGAGAAGGACGCAGAAGTGACTCCTGCTTCAGGACGTCTCCAGCTCCTCCTACACCAGCACACGGGTTGGAGGCTGGCAGAGTCAGTGACTATGGCCCCCATGTTCAGGGGGCAGGTGTGATGCGTCACACGGTTATGGGAAAAATAAGAACTTCCTCAGAAAGAACAGGTCCAAATTCTTCCCATCGCGTCACTGATTTCAAGGTTCTATCTTTTTTCTCTTGGTGACCCACGTGGCTCTGTGTGTTTTTAAAAATTGTCCACCAGGAGCACTTCGTGCCCAGAAAGTTCCTGAAGCATCAACGTGGGCAGGGAGGCGTCCGCTCCGCCAGCTGGTGGGTGTTTGTCATCAACCTGGGCAGGGAGGTGTCCGCTCCACCAGCTGGTGGGTTTGTCATCAACCTGGGCAGGGAGGCGTCCGCTCCACCAGCTGGTGGGTGTTTGCGATCGTCAAGCACCAGTTACAGGTCACAGCCACGTCACTCACAGATGATTGTTGGTCGGTGGAAAATAAACTATGAGCAGCGGATCACGTTAAACGGTTGTTTTGTGTGGTTGGTGTGTCACAGTACCTGTCACGTTTGGCTGGTAACGAGGATGTGGCTAAGGGAATACCAGGAAGCTGAGGGCTAAACTCTTGGCATCCAGTAGCTCTGCTCTGGGCTCAGATGATCTGTCTTTGAGATTGTTCATGCCTTCACTGAGCCACTGTTTATGTATCCATAGAAATGGCTTAATTTAACAGGCCATGTCAGACCTTGGCACCTCTGCAGATATCTTTTTGAGGATTTTTGCAGAGACGGAAGTCTATGCAGAAAACTGAATTTCAAAATCTGCAGCCTTACCCTGCATTTGTCATGAAAGTGTCACTGTTTTCTGGTTCCCTGTGTTAGCCCTACTTACGTCTCACCCCCCCAATGTTTAGAAGCCAAGGTTCTGAGGATGAACGCCCACAACACAGCGGCAGGACCCTTCTGTTCTCTCAGCCCCTCCAGGGACCAGGGCAAGCTGCATCTTTACCTACCAGCGGCCAAACCAGGATGAAGCCAGGGCAGGTGCTTCAGGGCAGGTGCTGATGCTGGTCACTGTATCTATACGGAACCGTGGGGACGGGGTGGGTGGGGGGAGTATGGGACTCACTTTAAGCACTGCTTTTGCGGCCACACACAACATGGTTGGAGTTGAGAACACCACCAGACGTGCTTCCTCACACCCTTCTGCCCAGCGGCTCCCGTAACGGTTTGGATTCTTTGGGAGCCCCTCAGCTGCTCACTCCAGGGAGGTCAAGTGCGTCGCTGGTGTGCCCAGGAGAAACCATGCCCCCCACCCCTTCTTTCTCTTCTACTCCCCCAACTTCCTGGTAAAACTTCCTCTCGGGAGAACCAAATGACTAAGCATGGTTCACGTGCCAGGGGGGCAGGGTGGGATGCTCTGGCATGTTCCAGGGGACGGTGTTTGCAGGGACAACGTCCTCCCAGGCTGACATTTGAATATTTGAGCATCTGCTCCGGGGCCCCGCTGTGGTCTGGGCCTGCCCAGAGCTGCACATGCAAGTGGCTGCCCGCAACACTGCTCACAAAGGCTAGAGCAGAGGACAGGCGGACGGGCGGCCTGGAGAACGCAAATTCATCCCGTTCCAGTCTCCCCAGATACCTCAGGAAAGTGCTCAAGAAGCAGGAGTCAGGAAAAGGAAGCTCACATCTTTCCAGCCTAAAACCAATCTCCTGGGATTTGTTCCCTGGGTTATACTCCGGCTGAGTCTTGTTACAAAATAACAGTGAAAGAATAAACCATGTATTTACCTTGTCCTTGTTTAGAAAAAGCAACCTAAACACTGGAAAGTAATTTTTTCTTTTTTTTTTTGAGACGGAGTCTCGCTCTGTCGCCCACGCTAGAGTGCAGTGGCACCATCTTGGCTCACTGTAAGCTCTGCCCCTCAGGTTCACGCCGTTCTCCTGCCTCAGCCTCCCGAGTAGCTGGGACTGCAGGCGCCCGCCACCTCGCCCGGCTAGTTTTTTGTATTTTTAGTAGCGAAAGCGTTTCACCATGTTGGCCAGGATGGTCTCGATCTCCTGACCTCGTGATCCACCCGCCTCAGCCTTCCAAAGTGCTGGGATTACAGGCGTGAGCCACCGCGCCCGGCCTACACTGACAAGTAATTCTAAGCCCATTTTATCCTGGGTGTAAGAGGGGAAAGAAATTTACATCCCATTGCTTTAGAGTCCGTGGCTTATATGCAGTGCCTTAAGTTCACTTCATATACTCATGGGTATAATTTAGGAGGGACAAGGGAGGGTGCAGGAGGGAGGCAAATTGTCCTTTCTTCAGTGAATCCAGAGGAGCAGATGGTGGTTATTTGCTGAGAGATTTTGGAAAATCACTACCTTGAATCCTCAGTTTTGAGGCCGACATTCGTTCTGTCACCATTTCCTCAGTAAACGGGAATAAACGAGCAACATTTCACAAGAAAAACACTGCTTGGCCGAGAGACAAACATCGTCGGGATGTTGGCCGCGCTCCCGCGCCATTGTGTGGCCGCGAAGCTGCCACAGTGGCATCTGCCAGGAGGTGGCAGGCGACGCCTCCAAAACCACCCCAGTGCTGAAGGGCGGGGCTGCGATTTTTTTCCTGGATTTCAATGGTTGAAAAGGTAGGAAAAGACGATGGAGTGAAGTCTCCCGCCACCAGAGAGCATTCTGCTGTGCGTGCTCCAGGGTGTTAAAGGTGGAGACCCATCCGGATTGTCCCACATGACTCAGAAGAAAGAACCTGAAGTACAGGAAGACATGGAACAAAAACGGAGGCCAAAGAGGACCAACGGGAAACAGCAGGAAAAACCAGCACAACTTTTCTCTGACTGGAGCCTCTGAGAAAGCAACTCTGGGCAAAGCGCAGATGTCCAGATGTGCCTGGAGCTCACGCTGGGTGCCCCCCGGCTGGCCCTGCAGTTCCTGCTTCGGGGCAGAGGGCGCTGAAATCACTCCCCTTGCCCCAGCCGCTGGCTCCTGGCTGGGAGCCTGGTCATTAAGGTCCAGAGGAGAAACGGACCTCGGGGGACCCCCCACCGTTTGCCCCAGGGTTGGCAGCAACCCCAGATGTCCGCACCAGCCACGCCGGGCCAGACTTGGCCCCACTTTTGCCATTCTGCCGCACACAGCCCAGACGCACACCCCATCCAAGGTTCCAGAGCTTTGCACTGAAAATCACCACCTGCACTGCAGGGCCTGGGGCCACCCTCTTGACCAAGCCACCTCTCCCTCAGGAGCAGACCTGACAGGCTCACCTGCTTTTAAGAAAACATGTTGCCATCTTAAAAATTCCATGATTGTACTTCCTCTATTTTCTTTCTTTCCTTTTTTTTTTTCAGATGGGGTTTTGCCATGTTGCCTAGGCTAGTCTTGAACTCCCGGCCTCAAGCTGTCCTTCTGCTTCAGCCTCCAAAGTGCTGGGAGGACAGGCGTGAACCACTGCGCCCGCCACGCTTCCTGTTTTCATCAGTGCAGTGAGTGCACACACGTAATAAGCTAGGGGCCAAGTTAATGGATGGGCTGGTTTATTGCTCAGGATGACTGAAGTCTCTGAACAACGGAACCACGTTACATTCGAGCAGCTGAGACAGAGGCTGAAGCCAAGTCCTCCCGATGCTCAGGAAGCCTGGCTGATGCTCTGCGGCTGAGAGTGACGGAGAATCCGGAATGGCTGATGGATGGGTCAGTTCTGTTCTCACCACATCCCCAGTATCTGGCTTCCTGGACTGCTGTGTAGGGAACACCCACTTCTTTCCGTTGAAGCCTGAGTTGTTATGGGCCATAACCAAGGGTGCTGCTTCCTCAAAATGCAAGAAGTGGGCCGGGCGCGGTGGCTCACGCCTGTAATCCCAGCACTTTGGGAGACCAAGGCGGGCGGATCACGAGGTCAGGAGTTCGAGACCATCTTGGCTAACACAGTGACACCCTGTCTCTACTAAAAATACAAAAAAATTAGCCGGGTGTGGTGGTGGGCGCCTGTAATCCCAGCTACTCAGGAGGCTGAGGCAGGAGAATTGCTTGAACGCGGGAGGCGGAGGTTGCAGTGAGCCAGATCACACCACTGCACTCCAGCCCGGGTGACAAGAGTAAAAAAACTCTTGTTAAAAAAAAAAAAAAAAAAAAATGCAGGAAGGGAACAAGGGAACACGGTTGGGGAGGGAGGAGCCTCAGCCTCCCTTCCCTGCTCCTCTGAGACGCCGAGGGTGGGGTGTGCTGACTGCAAGCTGAGTGGCTCTTCCCTGACGGGGACAGGATTTCCACGTCCTCTGACATTCGAGATTGATTTTTTTGGCCCTCCCTACTGTATCCTAGTTCTAGCACATGTGGGTGACTTCCTCATGTGTGTGAGGCCTGAGCACCCAGGAATCCAGACTGCCGTCTCTGCCTCTGGACTGCACTCTGGCCTGCAGACCTGGGACAGAGGCTTTCGCGAGTTGTGTGTTATTTAACAGAAACCAACAGTTCCACCCAAACCTCCAAACACATTCTCAGGCTTGGGAAGTATCTCAAAGCACCAAGGGGGTGAGACACACGCCTAGAAAAATGACAGTAAGCATACTTACCTGTCTTCATGCGCCCACGTACAAGGTGCACCCAGAATACCCTTGTTATGTTCCCAGCACTAACGAAGCTAATGATCAACAGCTATTTGTTCCCAAATAATTTTCCCTTGAGCAGCCGCAGCCTGGAGGAAGCAGGTGTGTGCTCTGTCTGTCGGCGGCAGCAGTGAGGGGTGGCGCTAAGTGCCCGCTTCTCTCATTCAGCTGCTTCGGGGAAAACTGGAAAGATCCTTTGAGCTCACGGCCCCCTGCTCAGTCCTTGGCTCCCAAACCTGCCCCCAGAGAGAAGCTGCAGGAGGCATCCTGAACCTACGGGCCTGTGTGCCCAGCCACCCACAGCGTGTACAACAGCGGCCTTCTAGTCCTAGCGGGCACCATTCATGGGCCTGCCCGGGGCAAGGGCACTGTGAACAGCGTGTGCCCTCACTCAGGGCCCTCCCAGCACCACGATTCCCAGCGTGCAGGGTCCCGACGCGTGTGCCCTCACTCGAGGCCCTCCCAGCACCACACTTCCTGGTGTGCAGGGTCCCGACACCTGTGCCCTCTCACACGTTGCGTTTTCTCCCTAAGCTGCACCGTGCAGCACCATGTTAGGTCCCGCGGATCTGCTCCTGGGCCACATCTGGCTCCGTCTGGATTGTTGCTGAATTCAGTTTGCTGTCCTAGAACAAGGCAGCAGGAGGGGAGAACAGCTTTTCAGTGTCTTCAATTAGGCAATAGGAAAAAACAAAGTCTGGCTGAAAATTACTATTAGAAGCTTGGCCGACGCCAACACAGTACCGGCTCCCTGAATTCTGGTAAGTGATGGCCGATGATTTCAAGGACGTACCAAGGGGTGAAAAGCAAGAGCGGGAGGTCACTGCTCTCTGGAAAAGCAGCTGGTTTTCATCTGCCGTGCCTGCCCGTCCCAAACATGCCCTTTTCCCTTTTTTAAATTTTGTTTTTCCCAAT